CCCCAAAACCCCAAAACCCCAAAACCCCATAATGCTGAAATAACTGAAAAATAATAAATTTTGATAAATGCTTTTCTAATTATTTTTCTTTTTATAAATTACGATGGAAAATGATTAATTAAGCTATCTTGAAGGCAGAAATTAAAAGCATAATACTTAAAGGCAAAACGATTCTCAATTTGAATAGACTATCACTAGAAGAAACTCTTATTTAAACTATACTTAAAGATGAGCTAGCGCATTAAATACAAACTCAAACCTACTTAATGAAAACGATACTTTATCAACATTAAATTCAGAGGAGAGTTATGATTCATCGTTATACTATTAAGACCAGAATGATACTTTTATGATGGAAATTCAAAGAAGCAAGCAAGATATTTAGGGTTAATCTCAAACTTAGGTTATCTGCAGATACAACGCCTATCTAGACACGATTAGAGATGTAGTTAGCAGATGTAACTAAAGACTTATCAAACACGAGGTTTTCAACGGCAAAGTTAAAAAAGCTGAGATTCAGTACACTAAGCATCAAAATAAGGAATATTATATAGCCATAACTGAATAATTCAAGGAACTAAAATCTAAGCAAAAGAATGTTGTTAGTGATGAAAGTTATAAATCAACTTTTGATGCTGTGATTAAGCGAGGCAAATTCTGTTAAATAACTTAATCAGAGCTCAATTAATACGAGAAAAGATGAGACGTTCAATCAACTATACAAAAGAAGCTAGGAAAGTCTATAAACTTATTGGCAACTGACTATCAAATTTGCAAATAGTATAAAAACTTTGTCTTTGATGAGCCCTTGCTAAGTAGTAGTATGATTGAATCTGTCTCAACTGCCTAATCTTTAAAATAACATTAGAGAATTTTCAATGGCTAATAAAATAGTGTAAAGAAAGTAAAAAAATTCATAACTGAAAAACCAAGAGTTACTGGATCTATAATATCTTAGCTTGAGGAAAGAGCACGAGAAGGAGATAGGAATTCAGCAAAACTGGAGGACATAGATTCAATTACAGGGGTAGATGATAAATCCACCTTAGCTTTATCTCAAGCAAATAATCACAATAATATCAAGAGATCTGTTTACATGCTTCACAACAACCATCATCAAAGATAGTACAATCAAATTTAGCTGACAACATATTCTTAGACTGAAAGTTTATCACCAATTAAAGAGGGGTTCTGCTAGGTCAAACTTCCATTAATAAAACGAATAGATATTTACTCTAGGGAAGAAAAGCCAATAAAGAAGGAAGTAAATTAGATCATGCAGAATTGTAAAAATCGAATGCGCAGAATTTCGTAGGATCTATAATCTGATAACACACAAATGATCATACTTGCAGACAGATACGGAGACAAATAAGATAACAGGGAGTCTCAAATGAAAATAAGTGATCAAGAAGAGTATTCAGATTAGGATATAATGTTTTCGAATCCTTAGACAAATACAAAGGTCTCACTAATTGATTAGGGTTTTTCAACTGATGATCTAAATATAGAAATCAACTCGAAAGGCTATGACGCTGTCAATAATTTCTCACCAACTTTCAACAATCAGCCATTGTTCTCAAAAGACTATGATATTCTTGCCAGGTCATATTAACATAATCAAGCACCTTTAATTAACAATCGCAATATATTTGTTCCTGCAACTGATAAAATCAAGAAAGCAAAGCCAAATAAATCTGACAATAAAAATGGCTTAGGAAAGAATGAAAGATAATCGATATTAAATAAAGTAAATCTAGAAGGCCCCCCACTATTATTTGGATTGGATTAAAATAAGACTCAAAGAAGAATAATGAATTTGGCAGAGGTACTTGGATTCAAAGACTTCGTGCTGAAGAGAAGGATGAAGGATGGTTTAAAGTGCTATGAATTGGATAAGGTAGCACTTCTCACTCATAATTAGAACTTTAAAAGCAAGTCTGAGTCTTAGAAAAGCCAGTAAATTTAAAGGTAATTGAGCAAACCAAATGTCTAAATAACATTTAGAGAGACAGCAAGAGAATAAAAATCTAAATTTAGGAATGAAAATCAAATGCCTCCATACTAAAGATAATCTTCTAAAGTAAATGTAATCATAATTATATTGTTAATTCTAAATAGCTGCAGCAAATACTTCTTGATTCGAATCAACAGCACTTTGATTTCCAAAGATATCAATTGTCAACTAACAGTTCAAAGGAAAATAAGTAAGATCAATATTGGAAATTAACCAATTTAAAATAGCATCCTCCGATTAGACTCCGAAAGAATTAATGAATTGCCTTAGATTAAGTAAAGACTGCTTTCAAATAGGCAAATCAATGATATCTAATCATTGATTAGAATGCCTGAAATCTAACTTTAGAAAATTACAGTTGATACCATTTAGTAGAATGTTATTAGTAACTAAAAAATAAAAGAATGAACTAGATTGATGGGAACTTATGTAAATATGAGAATGTAGAAGAAGAAGTTTTGTTTTAATGAATAAATTTAATTGTAAATTAATTACGTCAAATGTATTATATATAAAATTTCGTTGATATTATAGGTTATGGGGTTTTGGGGTTTTGGGGAGATCGGAAGAGCACACGTCTGAAC